CTATACTCATAATCATAAAACATAATAACTAACTAGTCTCAAGTGTTGCTACTTGTGTGAAAAACTCTGACTAGACATCCTATGTGACGCTCGGACCGTCCTCCTCTAGCTAGCTTCACTCAAATTGTTTCTCTCGATCCCGCTGCTCTCTAACTGCTCCTCTAGCTTCTTCCCCTTCAAACTAGTGAGTGAGTTGGGGTCAGTCTACGCCCTTACGTTTTTAAAATCCAGTACTTGAGTACTTTACTTAAACACTTAACTATGACTAGTGGAAGTGGTTTGTACTTCCAATCTTAAAATCTTAACTCTTAAACTTTGAGGGAGTTGAAGTTACTCTCCTCTCTTAAAGCTCAAATCTTGACTTAAATACTTGACTGACACGAGGATCCCTCACTAGCTAGTCCGGTTGCCAACTCATACGTATGAGAAGCCCTCAAGCCTTTCCTTAAACTTAGTTAGGAAAGTCGTAACGATTCATCCCCCTAACATCTTAAACTTATCGTGGTGGCTCTTTACCACGATTCTCAAGAGCATAACTGCTGCGTGCTCATCTTAAAAATCTCAAGAGCATAACTGCTGCTCAACTTAAATATCTCAAGAACATAACTGCTGCTCTGTCTCAAAGATCTCAAATGGCAACGGACTGGCGCTAACGACTAAAAATACTTAAAACGACTTCACCTTCTTGAAGGTGAGTTACTTCTTAAGAAGGACTTGTTCTTGAACTTTAACACTAACTCATAAATATAAAGCTTTAAAGTAAATAATAACTCATACATAATCGCTTCAAGCAAAGCTCAAACCACACACATATCACCAATCATAAACACAATCAAACAATAACAATCATTTCATCAAAATACTTAAAGCTCGTAAAACTTGAAAGAACACGTAAAGCGTAGAATTTACCCCCTTTAAACTCACCTTATAACCAAATTGGATTAAACACCAAACTAGCGGCTCAATCGTTATACCCAAGGTTTTCACCATCACTTGGCACGTCTGAGCTAGCTTTGCCACTGAAAGATTACGAGAATTGTGAACCATCACACTTCAAGACCACCTATTTCACTTATATCTCACACATGCATGAACAGTCGCTTCTCTTTACTCAATCCATCATAAACATGCACCCACGTTCACTAATAGAGCTATGTATAAAGTGGGCATGTGGTTACTTGATCGTCGGGGATTGAAGGGGAAAAGGGGTTTTGTGAAGTTGGACTAAAAGCTGAACCACCTAGAAGTTGTTGTTAGGTGATTAATTAGTAAGCTAAGCTCCTCAATTAACTAAACCTATTATCCCCTTTTCCAAACGTAGCAGAACCATGTCAATCATAATCATCACTATTACCTTGAATTATTAACCCAGAAGCAATTAGTTCTTTTGACACAACCTAGATCCATATACGATTATTAACAACCCACGTAGCAAGCTGAAATCCCCTGCTGTGTGCTGATCACAACCAAACAAATAACTTCAATTCTTAGAACTGTGATGATTATCAGACCATGGCTCTCATATAAACCCTTTAAGTAATTACACTTCTTACAATTCCAAACCGTGAACTGGGGGAAAAGCCACCTACCTCAAGTTCGATTTCCCTCCACCCACTGCGCTCCACCGCCGAACTCCATCGAAAACCTCCAATCATCATGAGATTTGCGCCGCTGAAAGAAAGGGGGTCAAGCTCGCTGTCGTACCGGGATGATTTGTTCCTCCGGGCATCCTTCAATTGTCTGTCTCGGCGTCCATCGTTGCTAGCTTCCCAAGTCGTCGCCTCAACAAGAGCCGGAGCCGAGCTATTCCCTTGTAGCGAGAATAAGAATGGTCCCCCAAGGAAGGTTTCTTTTCCCTTCCTCTCATTCTCTCGATCGATCTCTCCCTTTCGCCCACTCATCTCAGGAACACCATTATAGTGGCTCGTCGGATGGCGTCCTCACTCGAACTAACTCGGGCTCTCTCTCTCAATTATCCGGAACTCATCCCCTGTCCATCACGTCTCCGTTGCTGCCGCTCAGCCCTCTTGGCCGTTACTTATTATTATTTTCTTATTATAATAATAGGGTCAGACTAGTGTGCTCCAGACGTATACTATACTCCAGCCTCCCCACACCGTTGATCTAATCTGACGGTCATTATAAATATTAATTAAATGAATTATTAATTTATAATTAAAGTTTCTATTTAGGCCCCTTAAATTTATATACGTTCCGCTTACTCCTCAAAAAAAATTTGCCACTACTTTGAATATTTAAGTACCCTAAGTCAACTATTTATACATTTAAATACCCTAATATTCTAATATTCTAAAACTTTAAAACTACTAAAACGCATTTACCCCAAACCAGAAGCCATTTATTCCCCAAGAAGAACCCTTCCGACACGCCATTGGTACAGAGAAACTTCACAGGAAGAAAGACCTCTCTGGTTTCCGACGGTATCCCAAATTCCACCTTCCTCTAACAATCAAAAAGCCCGACCCAAAAACAAAAATATCAAAGTGTAAACATAGAAAAATGGAATCCACGGGCTAGAGGGAAAGAGAGCTCAATCTCCCAGGAGGGATGAACGAGACCTCCCTCGTTGCTCGACACGATTGCTAAGCAATCTCCATCCGTTTCTCCTCTTCGGCGCTTCGAATTGCCTCGGTGTCTTCCCCCGCGCAATCTCCAGCTATCTTCACCATCGAAGAAGCTTTTCTTTGTATCCCCCAATTTGATCAGCATCCGCCAAATCCAGAACCCAAAGAGGAGTAGCTGATTCCACCTCTCTGTCTGTTGCGATCGCTTCTACTCTTTCTCCATCTATTATCTCCGAACAGAAACAAGTAAACAAGGCGTAACTGTCGGGTGCTCCGTCACCTTGCCACCATCGCTTCTCTGTTGTCCGCTCTGCGTATACTTCTACGTACGAAGGGTTAAAGGTAAAGTAATGTGGAATCTGTCTATCATGGACAAACTGGGTACGTGTGGTGGTTGTTCTTGTTCTTGTTCTTGGTGAAAGTGATTTGGGGGCAAGTTGGGGTATGCTGAATGGACGATCTAGGTCGAATCACAAAGGGAATTTACTTACGTGTATCTGCCTCTAAGTCCTACTCCAAGCTGCCACACTAGAACTACAACTTGGCAGTATTGGAAGTCATGTCAAAAGATATTGTCTTTCTGAGTATGTTGATGTACTAGGGATGATACCTAATTAAGTATGTCAATTAAGGGTTATCAGAAAGAACTTGACTATTGCAGTTTAAAATAGCACCATGAGTTCACCTGGTGTTATTATACATGTATTCATCTTAGGATCATGAAGGAGTTGTATTAGTTTTGGTGGAGTTATATTCGAAAACCCAACTGATATGAGCTTGGTTTGCTTCCATTCCAAGTTAGAATTGTTCGTTCAAGAAGCTAAGGTAGCTCATTTGCACAATCTGAATTTTTGGCCAAGTATTATGATGAGTTCAGTTAACGACTTTGCGAGCTCGAACCTTCCAATTGGGTTGATAGAAATTCGAGGTTAAGGTGTTGTTGTGAAGATAAACAATTCCTCTACAAGATGACATGGAATTCGGGTTCATACAAGGTCGTTAAGGGTTGTGTTTCAAGGCATCAAAGTAGCTGTCTCAAAATTGGCAAACTGTCAGAATTTGGCCAAGTCTGGAGGCATGGCCAGGAAGGTCACTTTAGAGCTACATTCAGGGAAGATGGGTTCGAATAAGGGAAGGATCTTTGTACCACATGAAAGTGTGTTTGTTTGTCTACAGAAGCAAGGTATTGGCTAAGGAGATGGAGACCTGGAGGCACGTGAACGTGAGGTTCAAAGTTGCTATGGAACCTGTTTTGGAGGCAGCTTAAGGGAGCTACAAGTTTTGGGTTTTATGGACGAGTTGGGATTCGTTTTCTGTTTAGGATTGTTACCTTTAGACGTATTAGGGTTAGTTAGCTTTCCTTGTTTGTTTTGTACTCGAATTAAGTTTCAGTTTGCTTATTTGAAGACCTACAAACTCCATTGTAATAGTTAGACGTTGATCAATTAAGAACTTTGTTCATTGAGTTTTCAACTCGTGGATTGTCCTTGTTGCTTGGTTCAAATCGCCAGCGACGAGCGAGCCTTGTATCGATTGAGTCATCACCTCAATCGTGGTCAGGTGCTACCTTGAATTCGGTTGAGCCTCTTCCCCGTGCGTGGTGTTGAAGTTGCACTCCGAACCATCCTTCCATTCCCTTGTTACTTTGTTTTCTGGCTAAGAAAGACGACTTCTAAGCTGTGATCAACAAGCCTCGCGGGTTGGTGTTTATCAAGTGGTATCAAGCGCTGGGTCGCCACGAACGGCGACGAATCGGGGCCCACCGTCGGTTCAGGAAGTCGATTGGAGGTGTGGCCAACCTCGTGAGAGCACTGAATTGGATTGTCAAGACCTGAATCAAAAAGCCCCAATCCAGATGCTAAGAACACATTTTTCGAATTGCAGAAAATGGGGTTTGGCAAGCCATCTTTCGACCCGATTTGGACTCAGTTTTGTGAAGCTTTTGAGAAGAAGAAAGAGCCAGCCTTGAGGGCCAAGCTTTTTGAAGAGGGAGAGCCTGATATGAGCTTGGATTGCTTCCATTCCAAGTTAGAATTGTTCGTTCAAGAAGCTAAGCTAGCTCATTTGCACAATCTGAATTTTTGGCCAAGTATTATGATGAGTTCAGGTAGCGACTTTGCGAGCTCGAACCTTCCAATTGGGTTGATAGAAATTCGAGGTTATGGTGTTGTTGTGAAGATAAACACTTCCTCTACAAGATGGTATGGTATTCGGGTTCATACAAGGTCGTTAAGGCTGTGTTTCAAGGCCTCAAAGTAGCTGTCTCAAAACTGGCAAACTGCCAGAATTTGGCTAAGTCTGGAGGCATGGTCAGGAAGGTCACTTTGGAGCTACATTCAGGGAAGATGGCTTCGAATCCGGGAAGGATCTTTGTACCACATGAAAGTGTGTTTGTTTGTCTACAGAAGCAAGGTATTGGCTAAGGAGATGGAGACCTGGAGGCATGTGAACGTGAGGGTCAAAGTTGCTATGGAACCTGTTTTGGAGGCAGCTTACGTGAGCTACAAGTTTTGGGTTTTATGGACGAGTTGGGATTCCTTTTCTGTTTAGGATTGTTACCTTTAGACGTAGCAGGGTTAATTAGCTTTCCTTGTTTGTTTTGTACTCGAATTAGGTTTCAGTTTGCTTATTTAAAGACCTACAAACTCCATTTTAATAGTTAGACGTTGATCAATTAAGAACTTTGTTCATTGAGTTTTCAACTCGTAGATTGTCTTGTTGCTTGGTTCAAATCGCCAGCAACGAGCGATCCTTGTATCTATTGAGTCATCACCTCAATCGTGGTCAGGTTGCTACCTTGAATTCGATTGAGCCTCTTCCCCGTGCGTGGTGTTGAAGTTGCACTCCGAACCGTCCTTCCATTCCCCTGTTACTCTATTTTCTGGCTAAGAAAGTCGACTTCTAAGCTGATATCAACAAGCCTCGCGGGTTGGGGTTTATCACCAACTAATCAATAAACATAGCATTAACAATCAAGAGTTGTTTAACGTAAAACAGACCAACAAATGTGAACACAAAGCAGTAGCAAAGGAAAAAGGCTCACAAAACATCAGAGCCATTATTCTAATCTTAAAGAGAAATCTGTAGAAGCAAAACCTAAAGTGTACAATATAACTTAAGGATCTCGTGGTGGAGCCAAAAGATCCTTTATCTCATTCATTTCACTTCGAGCTTGATAATAACGTTTAATTATGTGATGACATTTGTGGGCATGCTTGTGCGCCAGTTTCAGAGTGTTTGCCCGGTTTATGTTGTAAGGTGAAAGAAGCAAACGTATTGCGATCTTCATTCGAATGCCATCATTCACGAACTGCATCGAATAACATTTCGTCATACATTAACACACGAAAATGAATTGCTTATGCACCAGTTTAAAGAAAAGATTTAAGTAATTAAAAACATATCTTACCGGAACATCATAAGTTTCAAACAACTATGTTCGAAACATCCATTGACAGACCCAAACACCAGAATCCTCACGACTGCAAACTCTCCAGAACACATTAAATAAGGTGCATTAAGAGCATGAATGGGAAGTGTTTCATTATATCAAGTTGAATAGAGATGAAAAGTGCTTACGCAAATGCAGACCGTTGTAGAAAAGGTTTTACAATGTCAAAGCCTGAAATTGTAGGTATTTCTCCATCCCACGAGCACATTAGTGGAGCTAATTCGTCCAAAAATGTGAGCTGTGAATAATACAATAGAATGGTTAGGATAGGGATGAAAACATGAGCATAAAAACCGAGTATCTATTCAAACTTTGTAGAATCACTTACTACTCTTGTCACAACTTCTTCACGAATAGTTGTGCGATCCTCCATTATCCAAGATTCTAAACAGCCTCTTTGGACTTCAGATCCAAAACCAGCAAATACCAATCACTGTCATCCTTCAACGGGATGTAAACCTAACAACATAAATAGATGTTACTATGCTACCTATTAAAATTACCGGTATTTAAATCAAAACACCCACGAAGAAGATACCACCTTCCTACACTTTGGTGAAATCTGCAGATAAGAATATTGGAATAAGTCTACAGCTTTCTGAGTGGTTAGATCTCCAGTAAGCAACGATGCCTACAATTGTAGTCGACATACAAGGTTACTTTTATTGTATGAACTACCAAACTTAGAGTCAAAGACCAAAAAGCATCGTTGTGTTCAAAAAATGTAAGTTATTCTCCTTACCGAAAACTCTGGTGGCAAGAAACAAAGTTCCACATTCTCCGTCATCAATTGTTGATGACTTAGATAGCTGCAAACCATTGTCACCACCTAAGACACACAGTTCAAAGAGATTACATTCGTATTAGTTAAAATTGTCAAACATGTAAATGAAGCTTACATCATCTTTTAACGCCTTCCTCGGACAAAGGCTAATGAAATCCTTTCGTTGTCCTTCAATTCCAGCAGTGTGGACTAATACTTCATCTTCGTAGAGTCCTTTCCCAAAAGTGTAACACGCTACCACAAGTTCTTCAAATTTCAGGTCAATATCTACTGGAATGTGAAATTCCATGGAAGTGATAGCCTGGTTTAGAATTTTAGATATCAAAACTTGATCAGTCTATGGTTGAAATTGAATTATATACAGACCAAAAGGGAACACAGTATACGCATTTTGCACTTTGAAAATTTCAATACCACATTTATCTATGAAAGACAGAAAATACCATGGTAAGAAATAAAAGCAAACCATACAAGAATATTATACCTGAGTAGCCCCTTGATTTTCATTAAACACTGAGAAATCTGGTTTCTGTGAACTCCTTAGAGGAGTACCTGGACCACCACGTTGAACAGGTGAATTTGTTCGGGTCCTTTTGGTCGGGGTAATGGGTTTGGCGCCGAGACATATTACATCATCATCTCCTTTTGTTTGTTGGTCAGGATTAGCAGATTTGTTCGTCTTGGATTGATTCTTCCTATAATTAGATGAGGAGAAATGTCATTAGATATATGACAGGGAGAGGCCATGACAACAGCTCGTTGTATATATATATACTCAATGGGAAAGTGGCCCATCAAACGATACACATTATGAAAATAGATATATATATATACACACACAAAGCTGAAGAACGAAGAATAAATAACAGGCTGCATAGTGGGGATGAGTACTGGAAATTTCCACATTTTAAAGCAGGTAGGGTCTGTTCATTCAAGGATCATGTTGATACACATATAATTTCAGGATAAGGTAACTAAAAGCGTACCAAAGCTGGAAAGATATTGCTTAACACTCATGGTCGTAGATGTTGTTTATCCATTTAAATTTCGCACTGAGAAGCATGACATGAAGGGAAGGTAACAACTAACAATGATGGGAACCAGACAGAGAAACATGCCACATCCAGAAGAAAGGAATCAGACTACGGTGGGAGGAAAAAGAATGAAGACAAACCTGGCGGTAGATTTCTGGACGTTTTCCATTGGAATGAACAAAATTGTACTAGAGCGGAAAAAGCAGAGAGAAACAACGATATTCCTATGCCTCTAAATCTGCCACACTTATATAAGGGTGTAAATAATTTAAATTAAGAACTTCAGTAAGTTGTTGCCGCTTGGAAGCAGAAGATATTTTGTGAGGAACAACGGCTAGAAAGATTTCAAAAGTATTAAGTCTGTCAAATGGAATCAGCGCTTCACTTTATGAAGAAAAGTATGAAAATATTTTATAGAAACTAAAATATCCTTTTCGGTTGAAATGAAAATGGTTATTAGAAGAAAAATAGAATTGAAACTCCTGCAGCCAATAGGGATTTAATAAGTAAAGTTTATAACTAACCATCTCTTGACAAATACGAGGGAGATCCTTAAGCTGCCACTAAACAACAAACTTTGCCTAAGTTGACCTGGCTATGGAAAAGATCCATTAGCGAATCTCATGGGAGGCGTAATCTTCAGCCCCTCTCATTCTCCTTGAAGGCCTCAATTTTGTAACTGAAATATTGGAGACAAAAAGTAAAAGATCTATAATAATTAAAATTACAACAATTAAATCTAAACTCATATGGAAACAGTTACCTGGAAAAAAAGAGAACACTCGCTCAGACCTCCGCAGCATCTTCTTTTCGGCCATCTGAGATAAACTTACTCCATTGAAACAATGGCAGAACAGGGAAACTGGTCAGGGGAAAATAATCCCGAGAATGTAGATGAGCCTCTTCTCACTACCAGTGGTGGGTTAAATGGAGAGAAGGGTATTGGAACAGAGGATCTTCACAGTGCAGTAACTCCCCTTAACGATGATGAGTTCAATGGAGATAAGGAGGGTGAATCGCTACACAACCAGACAGATGAAGATGATAATGACATTGAAATCTTACAAAAAACGGGTGCCTCTAACATTGCTGGTTCTAATGTAGAGGAGAATGGTACGGAAGTTGTTATTCAGAATCCTCCTTTCATCGGTCAGGTTTTCAATGCTCATGAGGAAGCATATACATTCTACAACAACTATGCAAAGGTTTGGGGGTTTTCTGTCAGGCGCGAGAAGAAGGCTCGGAACAGTAAGGGAGAGATCACAGGTGCAGCATTCGTTTGTTCCTGCCAAGGACATAGACAACCACATAAAGGTGAACAAAAGAGAGAGTCTCCTATGGTGACCAGATTTGAATGCAAAGCTAAACTTCGTGTGGTGCTAAACAAGACATATTCAAAGTGGGTTGTGGATAAATTTAACGAACAGCACACACATGAACCAGTTAAGCAGAGGTTGGCACATCACTTGAGGTCGCATCGAGGACTAACAGAAGCAGACAAGGCAGATTTCCGATTTAAAAAGGATGCGGGCATGAAACCTTCACAAGTGATGAAGCTTGCTGTGCATACTGCTGGAGGGCATAGCAAACTTGGATACACAATAAAAGATGGGTTCAATTTCAGTACCACAGACCGCAATGAAAGGATCGGCGAGGGTGATGCAGCAACAGCACTTGCCTATCTAGAATCAAAGAAAAGCACGGATGCGCACTTCATCCTCCGATACACTACTGACGAGGAAAAGAAGCTACATAGTTTATTTTGGGCAGACAGCATTAGTGTAGCAGACATTTCATGCTTTGGGGAGTTGCTTGCATTTGATACAACGTACAAAAAAAAACTGTTACAATATGCCTCTCGTTATTTTCACAGGTACGAACCTTATATATCATTCTTTCTTTTAATTATAGGGACCGAACATTGCACTCTCCTAATATAAGGTTCTGATGAAGTTAACATTGTTCGTGTAATCTTAAGGTTTCAGTACTGCTCATTTAATGATTATTTTGAAAAGGAATTTAACATACAATTTGTGATATACTAACTAAAGTTCATATGTTGTTGACAAATTGGTTAAAATGTGGAAGTTCTGTTCGTTTGGAGTTCACGATAATTATCTTGAGTCCTGCGAAAAGAAGGAAACGTAGAGGGAGGCAGGAGAGATCACAATCGTGACTTTTGAGTGATTTAGCATAGTGAGAGGGGTTGGTTTAAAACTTTAAAAGAGAACCAATAGATACTTTATTACAATACATGAGCAGCATGTGGTGCAAAGTTTCTCGGTTATGCACTTACTCCAGAGAGTAAAGTGGATCAACAAATAATATATTTAGAGGCCCAGAGT